ACGCCGGGTTCTCCCCGGAGCTTCTCTTCTCCCTCCTTTTCAGGACCCTGTTACTCAGTTCAGAGGCAAGATCATCGACAGCTAAGACCGGCCAGATTGTGCATCATCACATAGTATAGGTGGATTTTTGTAATCTCTTCGGATTTTGTTTTCCGGGCAACAACTCCAAATGGTTATCGAGAAAAGTTGTTTGGATAATTTTTAAATCCAATGTCTATATACTTCATCACTTGGTGTAAAAAAAATATAGGTCATCACTTATTCAGATAATGCGTGAGACAAATTTATTTTCTATAAAACGCGTAATTAGGAATGACAATTTTTCTTATTTTTGACAAAGGCCCGACTTTCCCGACCTAATGGGGCTTAGAATTGGATGATTTTGACAAGTCAGGGATAGGGATAAAGATCGAAGACAGAGATTGAAATTAATCTTAAAATCAGATCGGGACGGAGAATATAATCTCTACCCCGAACCCGCCCCATTGCCCTTCCTACCGTAATATCACGCAAAAATGCAAAGACCCAATTGACTAACCCCACAACATACCAATAAACGAACTTAAACCAGTTTTATGAAGCGAGAATGTTTGCTTTCATACGAAGGTTGTCCTCGTATGGGTTCGTTTGAACTTTGGAGATGGATTTTATCGCCATGGAATCCTTCTCACACGCATCTTACAGTACTTGCAACCGTGCATTGGGAATGAGATGCTCGAATGCACGGCTGCAGCCCGGAAAGAAATTCGGATTCGTTCATTTGAACTTTGAACATGTTTCCAATGGAATAATAATTGTTATTTATTTATTTACTAATAAATTAAATTGTGAATAAATAATATTTCAATGAATTTTAGACGGGTTGATGAAATAAGATGGTATTGGTATTCCATTAAATAATATGAGTTTAAACCACAAAGACCAGTTTATACCTAATGAATACTTTGTAAATAATATAACATATCTTTAATCGTGTCAATTTTAAATAAAATAACGGGAAAATGACCACCCATAGTGTGGAAAATGACTATTTTAGGTCAATTTGTTATAACGGAAGTATATATATATATATATATATACATATATAAGTTGGATGTACATATTTCAAGCCTAACCTGAGTTTTTGAACTTTAAGATGGGCTTGAACCAGAAAAATTTAGGCCTAAACTAAACTCAATTTGAGCTTAGGTTGAGGCCTCGGGTATTGATCCGATGCAATTTACGTTTGTCCAATAATTTATGATATATCTATATATTATCAGTCTATTATATCTAGAAATTGAGCTAAAATGTTCAATATGCCCAAGCCCAAGCCTAGCCTGGGTAGGGATGGAAATAAAGTGTTGAGAAGGGTTTTGTAAATTCTAAATTCTATCTGTCAAGTATGTTGGATTTTGAAAATCCAAACCCTCCCTGCACATGAAAATGCAAAACCCTCAGTATATTTAAGGGTAGGGGTGGGTTGGGTTTAAAACTCACATATAATTTTCTATTATTTCTTATTATATAAAAGTAATAAAAAAGTAAAATAACATAAATAAACAAAAAAATTCAATTATTTGATTAAGATGTAAATGAACACATAACACTATCAATCATCCTTTACATCTAATTCAAAATATTATTAAATTCAACACCTACTGCATAAAGTTTAGATGCTTTCAAGCAATACGAAAGTTGAGGGGTCAGGTTTAGCCTAATACCCTACCCTACTCGTAATGTACGAGTTGTAGAATCTCAAAACTTGACTTGCCCCAAAACCCATAATTCAATAATAATAATAATAATAATAATCGCCTCGTCGAGGTGGGTAGGGGTGGATACCCATCGTGTAGGGTAGAAACTGTCATCTCTAAGCCCGAGATGCTTAGTTAAGGTTGAGTTGGGCCTAGGTTGGTAAGCT